AAAACTGACAGATTAACTACCAGGTAGAAAGAATAAGTTACCTGTAAAAAAAAAAAAAAACCAATAACGAAATAAAAATAATTTGCTACCTCACACTCCTTTCGAAAAATCAAAGTGATTACATTAATCACTCCTAAATTCCCAATTTTCGTATCGTTACTTTTAACAGCCTCATTACACTGACATAATGAATCCTTTACAGTTTCAGTACAGATACCTTACAAAGAGAAATAATTCTGGTTCACGAATTTATCTTCTCTACTTTTCTGTTCTGGTTCACTTTACATGAAGTGCTCGAGTTCAGAGACCACTTACGTTAAGTAGAGGACGTAGATGACTCATCGGTATGTTGAGGTATGTAGGATGAGAAGTGGATACACCAGAATAAGTCCTTTATTTTGATGGAGGGGGGGGGCAATCTCAAAGCCTTCTTGCGCCATTGAAATTTTCTGCAACGGCAGAGGACGATGAACATTTCCTCTGGTGTCCACAGAATTTTCACTAGAGAAAATATTTATTTTAGACACGTAAAATTGTCCTATCATTAACATGATATAATATATATAGAAATGGAGTAACACAAGTAGTAACTTTGAATAGTCCATTCAATATTAGAATAAAATTTATTACAGAATATGATTGATGTATTAACGATAGTAGTGACTTTCCTACTTTTGACCGAAAGAGACTAATGGGAGTAAGCTTGTCGCTGTAGCTTCCGGTGTTTTTCAACGTTGGATATTGTCTTCTGTATAACATTTATAGATAGGTCTGTTCGTTCATCTACGGTTGCAGGTGATGTTAAGTATTTTGTTTTCAAAAAGTCCTTGTTTGACCCCTTGTAAACTATCAAATAGCTTGCATACAGTTTATGAATGAGCCAGTGGCCAGAACTTCCCACTAACACGAAAGAACAATATACGATTAATAACAGTTTAATATTTCTATAAAGAAACAGAAAAATGAACGGAAGAAAAAGCGTGTATAAAACTTAAGACATCGAATAAGAATAACATAGTCTAAGACTATGATAATTTTTCCATGTATTGAAATAATATTCACTGGGGGACATGCATGTATTTCTCCATTTTAGACACATAAAATTATCCTATCGTTAACCTTGACACAAGATATTTTTAATTGATATTGGAATAGAATAAGTCATTTCCAACAATGTATTCAATCTTACAGTAAATTTTAAGAGTAAAGTTACTTACTGCAGGAAATAACGAGTGTGTCCTCAATGATAGTAGAAAGTTACATACTTTAGTTGTGTCCGAGAGACTCTTGCGGTTGTAGGTTTGTCTCTATTACTCGTAAAGATTTTCAACGGGGGATTTTACCTCCTGTATAAAATCTTGAATGGTAGTTCATCTAGTGGGTATTACGTTAGTTGGTTCCAAAACATCCTTCTTCAACCTCTTATTTAACTTCCACACATGTCAAATATCAAAACTTTCAAAAACGTCGCATACAGTTAAAGAACATGTCCATGACCAGAATTTCTTACTAACGTAACAAAACAATATACCATTAATATTTCTGTAACTAAATCAACCGGTAAAAACAACCTTACTCCAAAACAACAATAGTTACAAAATGATTAACCTATCTAATAGTAACCAAAAAATAACACTTGCTCATTATCTCTCGTGAACTAACTTATCGATGATCATGACAGGGTTTTTATTCACTAGATGCCAAATCATGTGATCATTATTTACATACTCTTTAATCACCACTAGGGGAAACTGGTGTCATAATTCTTTCAAATTTAAAATTAGCGTAATTAATTAGAAGGAGTTTTATAGCTTAAATCTAAAACTAATAATTCATAGTTTAACTAAACAATAAAAGAAATAATAAATGACCAGTGGACAAAACCATA